AAATTTTTTTTTTTTTTTTTTTTTTTTTTTTGCCAGGGTTTCACCATGTTGGCCAGGCTGGTCTCGAACTCCTAACCTCAGGTGATCCTCCCGTCTTGGCCTCCCAAAGTGCTGGGATTACAGGCTTGAGCCACCGCGCCCGGCCCCAAAAATTTTTAAAAATAAAAAATTTTAAATAAATATGGAGGTCTCACTATGTACATTGCCCAGGCTAGTTTCAAACTCATGGCCTTCCAAAGTATTGGGATTACAGGCATGAGCCACAGCACCCAGCCTCTAATACCATTTTAACTCTAAAACCTAACAGCCCAGAGCAGGTATAGTTCCCATAAACCTGACTGGAATGTTTCTATCTTGGAAAGAATTAGTTATTCAAAGCTTTGGGTGAGGAGACTGCCTTTCTGCCTGATCCTTACCCTGCTCCCACTCTGGAGGAGATAGTCTCCTGAGACATTCCAGACATAAGAAGCTATTTCACCTTCAAACCTCCCCTCAACCCCCACCACACACAGCACCCCACACTTATCTGATCTGGGAGCCAGTGAAGGAAAGTAGCTGGAAGTACAACATTCCACCTTACTGGCAAGGCCCTGCAGACTCCTGGAAGGGACCAAGAAAGGATGGGCGGCTGTCTCCAGCCCTGGTCATTCGTCTAGCTGGTGTTTCACAACTACTTTCTCTTCCTTTCATGTGCAGATGCCCAGAAGAAAGACCCCAGAATCAAAAAGTCAGCCCTCAAGCCAGGTGCAGTGGCTCACACCTATAATCCCAGCACTTTGGGAGGCAGAGGCAGGCAGATCACCTAAAGCCAGGAGTTCAAAACCAGCATGGCCAACATGGTGAAACCCTGTCTCTACTAAAAATACAAAAATAAAATTAGCTAGGCATGGTGATGCACACCTGTACCCCAGCTACTCAGCAGGCTAAGGTACAAGAATCATGTGAACTCGGGAGGCAGAGGTTGCAGTCAGCCGACATTGTGCCACTGCACTCCAGCCTGGGTAACAGTGAGACTCCATCTCAAAACAAAGAAAAAGAAAGAAAAGGCCGGGCACAGTGGTTCACACCTGTAATCCTAACACTTTGGGAGGCCGAGGTGGGTGGATCACCTGAAGTCTGGAGTTCAAGACCAGCCTGGCCATCATGGTGAAACCCCACCTTTAAAAAAAAAGAAAAGGGCCGGGCGCGGTGGCTCAAGCCTGTAATCCCAGCACTTTGGGAGGCCGAGGCGGGTGGATCACGAGGTCAAGAGATCGAGACCATCCTGGTCAACATGGTGAAACCCCGTCTCTACTAAAA